TATAAAAAGTTCAATCAAAGGGCTCCCATTATCATTTACACCTGGCACCCCAAACTTACCTACCACACCCTCTAAATGTTTCTCCTACTTCAGCATTTAGGTCCCCTACCACAATTACTCTCTCATTTGGTTCAAAGGTTCCTATACATTTGCTTAACATCTCCCAAAATCTCTCTCCTCTGCACTCCTCTCTTCTCCTGGTGCATACATGCTTATTATGACCCACTTTTTGCATCCAACCCTTATTTTAATCTACACAATCCTTGAATTTACACATTTATATTCCCTCTTCTCCTTCCATAACTGATCCTTCAACATTATTGCTACCCCTTCCTTAGCTCTAACTCTCTGATACTCCTGACTGAATCCCATTTATTTCTCCCCACCGAAGGTCCCCTACCCCCTTCAGCTTTGTTTCACTTAAGGCCAGGGCATCCAACTTTTTTTCATTCATAACTTCAGCAATCATCTCTTTCTTGTCATCCGCACTACATCCACACACATTCAAGCATTCCAGTTTTCTAAAGTTTTTCTTCTCTTTTTTAGTAAATGTCTACAGGAGAAGGGGTTACTAGCCCATTGCTCCCGGCATTTTAGTGGCCTCATACGACACGCATGGCTTATGGAGGAAAGATTCTTTTCCACTTCCCCATGGACAAATTTAATGGATTAATAGTGGGGAGGGGTGTCTGTTAATGCTGATTGTCCATTAAGTTTTAAATGATGAGATTGTTTTCACATGACTAATGATAATGGACAATTCAAAATCAATTTATCCAGTGGATCATAACAGTAACAGATACATAATTCAGGATTTAACAAACTTTGTCTGTTGTTTCCAAATATTGTTTGGTCAAATTTTGTTTGTTAAATCTTAAATCTGTGTAGTTAAATCAAAGTTTTACTGTAGTTCCTGGAATTTGTGAATGTTCAGTTGCAGTTTTATAATTACTGTACATCACTAAATACAAATTTCCAATGTCTGTTATTTCATTGTTTAAAAGAGCTAATGTAGTAATTCAGTTAATGCACAGTAATAGCAAGATCTTTTGGTGACTGGAGGTTTAAACCTTGTTGAATCCTGCTACTTTTGCCCATCTGGACACAACACCAATGTGTAATACAGCTTCATACCTATGAAATTATTTAAATATTAGATAAAAGGTATCAATAAAATGCTGTGTGTCTAATGATGATAAAGAAAATCTGGTGGTAAAATACTAATGATACATAAATATGATAGTACGTATTTATTAGGCCTAAAAGATGACTGACCTCTTTTTTTTTTTTTAAGTTATATGCTGTGGAAATATAGGTAGTAAGTTGGAAGACAGCATCTGCCAATGGAGGTACTAGCGTCCTGCCATATGAGTATAAAACAGAAGCCTGTAATTGTTTTACATGATGGTAGGATTGATGGTGTCTTTTCTTCTGTCTCGCAAACATGGAAGGTTTCAGGTACGTCTGCTTACACTTATGCCACACTATACGTACATGTACAAGCATATACAGTGGTCCCTCATTAATAGTCGGATTCGATAGTCATCTTTTTTGGAAATCGTCGCGTTATTTTAGTCCAATCACTGGCTCGCAAATGGTCGGTTGACTCGCTAATTGTTGTTCGTCCTGGACACGTACTCACGGCTCTGAGCCACGTTGGCCTCCCTTCCCAGCCAGTGTGCCATTGTGTACCAGTGAGCGACGGTCCCCTCATTTGTTCACACGAAATACAGTGGTCCCTCATTTTTCGTAATTAATCCGTTCCTGGAGGAGCTACTATAAACAAAATTTACGATTTGCGAATCAATTTTCCCCTTAAGAAATAATGTAAATACAATTAATCCGTTTCTGACACTCAGAAGTATTAAAACAAAAAAATTTTTTACATGAAATATACATGTAGTACATAAACAATACAATGGGAAATGATGAATGAAACATTAACAGCATAACACTTACCTTTATTGGAGATTCTTCTTAGTGTATGGGAGACTGGAGGAGGAGAGAGATTGGATTGTTTACAGTTTGGAAGGGGAATCCCCTTCCAGCAACACCTCAGGTACCAATTGCTTCTCTGGGGTTGCTTCTCTTCTCTGTTTCTTAATGCCACTAGGACCACCTTGAGAGTCACTCTAGTCTTGTCTCGCAAAGTAACTGTGGAGAGAGCTCTGTTTCTGGCGTCTCTTTAACACTTCCCTAAAATGGTATAAGACTTTGTCACTGTACATATTTCTCACCTTCTTTACCACAGGCTTGGCACTAGGAGCTTTCTTTGGAGCCATGGTAGCTTATTTAGTACTTGCAAGCACTAAAATGAGTGGAATATTATGAAATATTTCGTAGGAGCACTTGAGGGGACCTTCACTCACTGGTAAACAATGCCAGACTGGCTGGGTAGGGAGGCCTCCCCGGCTCACACCGTGCGTAAGCGTCCTGGATGAACTACTATTCGCGAGTCAACCTATGAAAAGCGAGTCCATGTTTATAAGAAAATACCCCTATGATTGGCGAAATTTACGATTGCTGAGAACTACGAAAAGCGAGGGACCACTGTATTTCATAATACATATTCCATTCATTTTAGTGCTTGCAAGTGCTAAATAAGCTACCATGGCTCCAAAGAAAGCTCCTAGTGCCAAGCCTTTGGTAAAGAAGGTGAGAAATACGATTGAATTTAAGAAAAACATCATTGAGCAATATGAAAGTGGCGTACGTGTGACTGAACTGGCCAGGATGTATAACAAATCCTGTACAACCATATCTTCCATCGTGGCCAAGAAAAAGGAAATCAAGGAAGCTGTTGTTGCAAAGGGGGTAAATATGCTGACAAAAATGAGAGCACCAGTACTCGAAGAGGTTGTGAAGTTATTATTGGTGTGGATAAACGAGAAACAATTAGCAAGAGATGGTCTTACGACATCGATTATTTGTGAAAAGGCTAGGCAGTTGCATGACGATCTGGGAAAGAAATTGCCTGCAACGAGTACTGATATTTGTGAATTTAAGGCCAGCAAAGGTTGGTTTGAGAGATTTAAGAACCGTAGTGGCATACACAGTGTGATAAGGCATGGTGAGGCTGCCAATTTGGACAAAATTGCACCTACAAAATTCATAAGTGAATTCAAGGAGTACTTAGAGGCTGAAGGACTGAAACCTGAACAAGTGTTCAGTTGTGACGAAACAGGCCTCTTTTGGAAGAAAATGCCAAAGAGGACCTACATTACTCAGGAGGAAAAGGGACTGCCAGGACACAAGCCTATGAAAGACAGGCTGACGCTCATGTTCTGTGCTAATGCTAGTGGGGATTTCAAAGTGAAGCCGTTACTAGTGTACCATTCTGAAAAATCCCAGTGTTCAAAAAAAAAAAAAAATGTTATGAAGAGTAAATTGTGTGTGTTTTGGAGATCTAATAATAAGACATGGGTCACAAGGGAAATTTTCGTCGAGTGGTTCAATGAAGTGTTTGGCCCTAAGTGTGAAGAATTACCTCCTGGAAAAGAAATTGGATCTCAGGGGCCTCCTAGTAATGGACAATGCACCTGCTCATCCTCCAAACTTGGATGACCTAATTCTGCAGGAGTTTGGGTTCATCACAGTAAAGTTCTTGCCCCCAAATACCACTCCTCTCCTCCAGCCCATGGACCAGCAGGTCATTTCAGACTTTAAAAAATTCTACACCAAAGCAATGTTTCAAAGGTGCTTTAATGTGACCTCAGACACTCACTTGACCCTAAGAGAGTTTTGGAAAGAACACTTCAGTATCCTCCATTGCATAAGCCTTATAGGTATGGCTTGGGAGGGAGCGACTACCAGGACTTTGAACTCTACTTGGAGAAAATTGTGGCTAGATTATGTCCACAAGAGGGATTTTGAAAGGTTTGTGGCTGACCCTGATGAGCCTATATCAGTTGTGAACTCTGTTGTGGCATTGGGGAGTTCCATGGGGTTGGATGTGAGTTTGGAGGATGTGGAAGAGTTGGTGGAGGACCACAATGAAGAGCTCACCACTGAGGAGCTGCAAGAGCTTCAGCAGGAACAGCAACAGATCACAGCTCAGAATCTTGCTACAGAGGAGGAGGAAGAGAGATGGAAGAAGGTGCCTTCTTCAGAAATTAAGGAGATTTTTGAAATGTGGGGTAGGATGGAAAGATTTATGGAGAAACATCACCCTGAGAAGGATGTTGCAAGCCATATCGGCAACTTGTATAGTGACAGAGTCTTGGCCCATTTTAGGGAAGTTTTAAAGAGTCGCCAGAAACAGAGCTCTCTGGACACTTTTTTTGCGAGATAGTACTCCAGTGTCTCTCAAGCTGGTCCTAGTGGCATTAAGAAACAGAGAAGAAAAGGACTTTGTACCTAAGGTGTTGATGGAAGGGGATTCCCCTTCCAAATAGTAACTAATCCAATCTCTCTCCTCCTCCAGTCTTCCATACACCAAGAAGAATCGCCAATAAAGGTAAGTGTTATGCTGTTAATGTTTCATTCATCATGTCCCATTGTATTGTTTATGTACTACATCTATATTTCATGTAAAAAAAATTTTGTTTTAATACTTCTGGGTGTCAGGAACGGGTTAATTGTATTTACATTATTTCTTATGGGGAAAATTGATTCGATAATAGTCTTTTTCGATAATCGTCGCACTTCCAGGAACGGATTAACGACGATAAATGAGGGACCACTGTATATACATGCCCCTCTGGGTTTTCTTCTATTTCTTTTCTAGTTCTTGTTCTTGTTTATTTTCTCTTATTTCCATGGGGAAGTGGAATAGAATTCTTCCTCCGTAAGCCATGTGTGTAGTAAAAGGCAACTAAAATGCCAGAAGCAAGGGGCTAGTAACCCCTTCTCTTGTACACATTACTAAATTTAAAACGAGAACTTCGTTTTTCTTTTTAGGTCACCCTGCCTTGGTGGGATATGGCCAGTTTGTTGAAAGAAGAATGCTGTGGAATGTGTGTGTAAGAGCTTTGAATATGATGGCTTTTCTCTCATTTCAGGCTCAAGAAGATCAGTGTAGTTGTAGCAGACAGCAAATGTGAGCACTTAATGGTGGGAACTGAAGGGGGCAACATATATCTTCTTAACCTGTCAACGTTTGCTATGTCTGATAATATCATTTACCAGGATGTTGTCATGCAGAAGTAAGTATTTTTTTTTTTTGTTATATTACACTGGCATGTTCATATGCATGATTTCTCAAAAGGTTTCTTAATCCTAAGGCTGTGTTTGCATCTTCTGCCAAGTTTGCCATTTCTTAATCAAGCTGCATAGCAAATCCTCGTTTAATGCTGATTAATGTATGTAGGCTTAACACTTTTTGTGATTATATTAACCCCCTCACTGTCAGTATCTCTGAAATTTAAGTGCTGATGGTTTTGGAAAGTATAAAAAAAAATTGAAATAATAGAGAATCTCTTTCTGAAGATAAGAGAGAGTGAAAGGGTTAATAATAAACAACTTATTGTTCACAGAAGTTTGATCCCATCATCTCTTATCCAGCACATGTGGCAAGAAGCTTGTCTTCATTTGCAGGTCTGGAAAGGTGTCATGCAGTCCATTGAATTTGTACACACATTCATACTACAGTTTTTTCTATCCCATGTTCACTGTGCCAGTCATTAGATTATTCCAGAATTTATTGATGTTATTAATAGAATTCACATTATTAAATGTCTTTAGATGGTATTTATCTATGACCAGTTTAAAAAAAATAGTAATCTTACACATAAGGACCTCATTAACCCTTTCGGGGTTTCCGATGTACTAGTACGGCTTATGCACCAGGGTTATTGACGTACTAGTATGCCTAAATTCTAGCGCCTTCAAATCTAGTGAGAGAAAGCTGGTAGGCCTACATATGAAAGAATGGGTTTATGTGGTCAGTGTGCACAGTATAAAAAAAAATCCTGCAGCACACAGTGCATAATGAGAAAAAAACCTCCAACCACGTTTTTGGTTTAACAGCGACTTTGCAATGTATTTTCGTATGGTATTTATGGTTGTATTTTAGTTTTCCTGGTCTCATTTTATAGAATGGAAGACATATTACAGAAATTGAGATGATTTTGATTGGTTTCATAATGAAAAGTACCTTGAAATTGAGTTCAGAGCAGCAGACAAGTTTCGATTTTTACCAAAGTTCAAAAGTAAACAAATCATGCCAAGCGTCCAATACACGTCAACTGGTGAGTCTGATATTCTTTCACAAGTTCGCTGATATTATACCATTTCTACACCATTTCTATACTAATGCAGTAGTCTGCATAACAGTAAATCTTCTATTTTTTGTGAGAATAAAAATTCGAAGTGGAAAGCAAAAGAGATGTAAGAGGGGCCTAGGGATGTGACTAATGAACAGAGAAAATGTGATTTTAGTGCCAGGAATGTCTGTCTTGTTTATTCTGGACCCTATTTGGAAATTTGCATTTTCTGAAATTTGTGTGAAATTGGCAAAATTGCCAATTTCTGACCACTTTATTGGATACTCGAAATCAGTTAATGGGTGGTTTCTTGTACTTATTCGATAGGAAAAAATGGAGTTCTAGTGAAATAGATATGATTTTTGTCGACTAGTACACTGGAATTGGCCGAAAATAGGGCTCAAAGTGGGCGAAATTGCCGATGCATCAAGATCGTAGAGACTGCTAACTTTGCGAGAGCATAATTCCGTAAGTTTTCCATCAAATTTCATGCCTTTGGTGTCATTATGATCAGAAAAAGATTCTCTATCATTTCATAAGAAAAAATAATTTTTTTTTTCTGAAAAATTTTCGATCCTGAGAACAAGTTTAGGAGAGGGCCTCTTGACCCTGAAAGGGTTAATGGCCTCTTTAACATCATGATCAGTTGGCTGAATTAACCCTTTCAGGGTCCAGAGGCAAAATTTCGAAGTGCGCACCAGGGTCCAAGAATTCTCAAAAAACAATTTTGTTAGTTTTTCTTATGAAATGATAGAGAATCTTTTTCTGAAGGTAATAAAACAAAAACTACGAAATTTGATGGAAAACTGACGAAATTATGCTCTCGCGAATACTGATGTGTCGGCGATATTTATGCATTGGCAATTTTGCCGACTTTGACTCCCATTGTAGGCCAATTACATTATTCCAGTCAACCAAATTCTTAGCTATTTCACTAGTATTACTTCTGTTCTATCGATTGAGCACAAGAAATTGCCAAGTCAACTGTTTCAACAACAAAATAAAGTGACCGGAAATTGGTAATTTGGCCAATTTAACGCAGAGTTCAAAATATTCCAATTTCAAAATAGGGTTCAGAATAAACAATGCAGGCATTCCTGGCACTAAACTAACATTTCCTCTGTTCATTAGTTACGTTTTCAGGCTTTACAAATGAATTCCATTTCAATTTTTTATTCACATAATGAATTTGGATTCAAACCAAAAAATAGAAGATTTACTGTTATGCAATACTGTAATAATTGTATAAATAATATCACCACATTTATGAATGTATATTAGACCCACCAGCTGTCATGTATTAGACTTGAGGTCATTTGTTTACTCTTGAACATTGGCAAAAATTTAACATTCCTGCTACTTTGAGCTCAGTTTCAAGCCATTTCCAGTACTAAAACCAATCAAAATCATCTTTATTTCTGTAGTATATCTTCCATTCTATCAAATGAGACCAAGAAATTGCAAATACACCTATAAAAAACATATGAAAAAACATTGCAAAGTCGCTGTTTTAATCGAAAATTATGGTCTGTTTTTTTTCTCTCATTATGCACTGTGTGCTGCAGGATTTGTTTTATGTATTCTCTCATATCTAGGCCCAAATTTACTGCTCACAGCTTATCAAGTGAGCTGAGCTCATGGCGTAGATAGATCTACGGCACGGACCCTGAAAGGGTTAAAGGTGCAGCATTCATGGGAAGAAATACATCCCTGTTGCATGGTAAATGAATTAATTGGGAGAGGGTGGCATGACATTATCACATAGAAAGAGAAATACTACTTGGCACGACATTGCCTAGCAATAACAGTGACTTAAACAACCTCACTACTAGTAAGCTCTAGTTCACATAATTTTATTTGATTCTCATTAACCACAGTAATAGTGATTGTGGAATTATATTCTTAGTCGTGAGAGTACCTTCTGCGTTGGTGGATACGAGGGTTCATAATTCCTCTGAAGTGACTTTATACCTTGCCATCTACTCTAATTTACTAACTGGTGTTACTTGGCAACCCTCTCCAGTACATCACAATCTCATCAACCTTGTAATTTTGAAAAAGAAAGATAGAATATGGCCTGAAAGATGTATATTTGAATATTTTTTACCTTACTGTCCTTGTCCTTACTTAGGCATCACCAACAAACTTTTTGTTATTCTATTAAGGTTATGCCTAGCGTTGTTAATTAACCAGAGCATTATTTGTGGTAAACTCAGTCATGCCTAAAGGATTGGCAAATTTCTATACTGCAGCCTTAAGTTCCTTGCTATGTTTCTCCACATTTGTTATGAGTTGCTGTGAAGATTATATGTACATACAACCTGTTATAAATTTTTAAATTCAGGAAACATTAATTTTTTCCAAGTAACATTCCCTGGACGTATTGTCCTTTCTGCAGGCAGCAAACCTACAAAGATCCTTTTTTGTTTTTCTTTTATTTTTATATTGAAATATACATTTAATGGGTTTTAAAAGTTTACCTACTTCTGCAGATTGGCCTTGGGCTAGATTTGTCTGGAGCTTGCCTGGTTAATCAGATTGTTGCTGTTGGTGGCCCATTGGCCCACATATCCATCACAACCTGGTTGATCTGGTACTTAGCAGAGGTTCTTGTCAAGTTTCCTTGTGAAGACTTCTACACTTGTCCCAGCAGTGTTTATGAAATTCTCTGGTAGAATGATGAATAGTCTGGGCCTGCAGGTGTTGATACAGTGTTCTCTTATTGTGTCCATGACACCCCTTCTTTCCACTAGGTTTATTTTGCATTTCCTCCCAATAACTTTAGTATTTTATGGTAATGTGTGTAGGTATAGGACCAAGCCCTAAGTACCTTCATGTATATATTTTCATGCATCTCCCTCTGCTGCTCCAGAGAGTACATATTCAGGACCTTGAGGCTTTCCCAGTAATTTAATAGCTCTGTTGGATTTTAATTTATTTTTATTTTACGACTGATTCCCACCAATCCAAAAGAAATTAATCTCACTCTCCTGTCTTGAGAAGGGTGCTTTCAACTGAAGTTCTTGAGCAACATACACCCTCTTAGTTGCAATGTTTCCCATTGGACCAAGTTCCGGCCTGTTTTTGAAAGTTTCATTGATTGTCCACTCCAACAGCCTCACTTTGAAAAACCTATTGTCTTTTCTTAAAACACGCTCAATCTGATATATCCACCACTGCTACACATCTCCTATCATTTGTGCGTTCTGTTTCCATATTAGATTTCTTTTAACATTGATACATCACCCTTTTTTGTTTAGTCTTTTCACACAGTGATAGGCTTACTAGTATTTCATTACACTTTGACATTATTGAAACAAAAAATTAAATTTTTTTTTTAAAGCATACATTTTTTACTTGAAAGCCTTGCAATAACAAATGATCAAAAAAAACAAACTTGTTACTCAAGGCAAAAAAAATTTCACATCCCATTTTATGTTGGCAATGGTATAATGTACACCTAACAATAGTTGGTTATTATTTATTTAAATCCTGTGATTATTTAACATAATCCAGATTTGTTTGTGTGACCATGAACTGCCCAAAATGCCTCGGCATGATAGAGGCTGTCTGTATTTAGCAAATCAAAATTGTAATTACACATTGTAACCTTTACAAAGAAATAAACTTTACTTACTAAGTTGAGGGATATGCTTTCATTCCCCCTTCACCTTCATCCCAGTGATTTTTGAACTTTAAATTGTTATAATTTCTCTAAATATGATTAGACTCGATCCAGGTTTTAAATACATGGTTAATAGAGTTTTTAAGCTTTTTATATTTGGGTATATGGTTACAGTAATTCTTTTACATTATGGTAGGATTGCTGGTGTCCTTTTTTCTGTATCATGAACATGCAAGACTTCAGATACGTCTTGCTACTTCTACTTACACTTAGGTCACACTACACATACGTTTTTGTTTTTTTTCAACAAGTCGGCCGTCTCCCACCGAGGCAGGGTGACCCAAAAAAGAAAGAAAATCCCCAAAAAGAAAATACTTTCATCATTCAACACTTTCACCACACTCACACATTATCACTGTTTTTGCAGAGGTGCTCAGAATACAAGAGTTTAGAAGCATACACATATAAAGATACACAACATATCCCTCCAAACTACCAATATCCCAAACCCCTCCTTTAAAGTGCAGGCATTGTACTTCCCATTTCCAGGACTCAAGTCCGACTATATGAAAATAACCGGTTTCCCTGAATCCCTTCACTAAATATTACCCTGCTCACACTCCAACAGATCGTCAGGTCCCAAGTACCATTCATCTCCATTCACTCCTATCTAACACGCTCACGCACGCTTGCTGGAAGTCCAAGCCCCTTGCCCACAAAACCTCCTTTACCCCCTCTTTCCAACCCTTTCGAGGATGACCCCTACCCCACCTTCCTTCCCCTATAGATTTATATGCTTTCCATGTCATTCTACTTTGATCCATTCTCTCTAAATGACCAAACCACCTCAACAACCCCTCTTCTGCCCTCTGACTAATACTTTTATTAACTCCACACCTTTTCCTAATTTCCACACTCCGAATTTTCTGCATAATATTTACACCACACATTGCCCTTAAACAGGACATCTCCACTGCCTCCAACCGTCTCCTCGCTGCTGCATTTACCACCCAAGCTTCACACCCATATAAGAGTGTTGGTACTACTATACTTTCATACATTCCCTTCTTTGCCTCCATAGATAACGTTTTTTGACTACACATATACCTCAATGCACCACTCGCCTTTTTTCCCTCATCAATTCTATGATTAACCTCATCCTTCATAAATCCATCCACCTACACGTCAACTCCCAAGTATCTGAAAACATTCACTTCTTCCATACTCCTCCTCCCCAATTTGATATCCAATTTTTCTTTATCTAAATCATTTGATACCCTCATCACCTTACTCTTTTCTATGTTCACTTTCAACTTTCTACCTTTACACACATTCCCAAACTCATCCACTAACCTTTGCAATTTTTCTTTAGAATCTCCCATAAGCACAGTATCATCAGCAAAAAGTAACTTTGTCAGTTCCCATTTTGAATTTGATTCCCCAAAATTTAATCCCACCCCTCTCCCGAACACCCTAGCATTTACTTCTTTTACAACCCCATCTATAAATATATTAAAGAACCTTGGTGACTTACACATCCCTGTCTAAGACCTACTTTTACCGGGAAGTAGTCTCCCTCTCTTCTACACACCCTAACCTGAGCCTCACTATCCTCATAAAAACTCTTTACAGCATTTAATAACTTACCACCTATTCCATATACTTGCAACATCTGCCACATTGCTCCTCTATCCACTCTATCATATGCCTTTTCTAAATCCATAAATGCAATAAAATCTTCCCTACCTTTATCTAAATACTGTTCACATATATGCTTCAATGTAAACACTTGATCTACACATCCCCTACCCACTCTGAAACCTCCTTGCTCATCCGCAATCCTACATTCTGTCTTACCTCTAATTCTTTCAATTATAACCCTACCGTATACTTTTCCTGGTATACTCAGTAAACTTATTCTTCTATAATTTTTACAATCTCTTTTGTCCCCTTTCCCTTTATATAAAGGGACTATACATGCTCTCTGCCAATCCCTAGGTACCTTCCCCTCTTTCATACATTTATTAAACAAAAGTACCAACCACTCCAACACTATATAACCCCCTGCTTTTAACATTTCTGTCATGATCCCATCAGTTCCAGCTGCTTTACCCCCTTTCATTCTACGTAATGCCTCACGTACCTCCCCCACACTTACATTCTGCTCTTCTTCACTCATAAAAGATGGTATACCTCCCTGACCAGTGCATGAAATTACTGCCTCTCTTTCTTCCTTAACATTTAAAAGTTCCTCAAAATATTCTCGCCATCTACCTAATACCTCCATCACCCCATCTACTAACTACTAACATACATGTACAAATATATATATACACACACCCCTCTGGGTTTTCTTCTCTTTTCTTTCTAGTTCTTATTCTTGTTTATTTCCTCTTATCTCCATGGGGAAGTGGAACAGAATTCTTCCTCTGCAAGCCATGCGTGTTGTAAGAGGCGACTAAAATGCCGGGAGCAAGGGGCTAGTAACCTCTTCTCCTGTATATATTACTGAATTTAAAAGGAGAAACTTTCGTTTTTCCTTTTGGGCCACCCCGCCTCGGTGGGATACGGCCGGTGTGTTGAAAGAGAGAAGATATGGTTACAGTACTAGCTTTACCACATTTGAGATGTCTGTAAAAAGAAATTTAGGCACATAGACTAGAGTAAATCAGCTGTTTCCTGCTTCACCAGCCAAAACACAGCATTTACTCAAGACCTATAAAAATAAGTGAATGTTTAGTATTCCTGGAAATTATTAACCAAGGTTAGGAATATTGAGCTTCAACAGTTGTAAGGTTAGGTATATCAGCTCAATGTGTTAATTAAAATAAAATGTAGTGTATTCACTAAGGATTATATTTGAAATTAAACCTAAGTGTCCATGTATTTCCAATTTATTCTGTATGATCATGTTATTTAACCCTTTGAGGGTTTTCGTCGTACTAGTACGTCTTATGCGTAGGGGTTTTTGACGTACTAGTACTCATAAATTCTAGCGGCCTCAAATCTAGTGGGAGAAAGCTGGTAGGCCTTCATATGAAAGAATGGGTCTATGTAGTCAGTGTGCACAGTCTAAAAAAAATCCTGCAGCACACAGTGCATAATGAGAAAAAAAAACTTTGACCATTTTTTTTGAATAAATCAGCGAATTTGCAGTGTATTTTCGTATGGTATTTATTGTTGTATTCTAGTTTTCTTGGTCTCATTTTATAGAATGGAAGACATATTACAGAAATTGAGATGATTTTGACTGGTTTTACAAAGAAAGGTGCCTTGAAATTGAGCTCAAAGTAGCAGAAATGTTCGATTTTTACCAAACTTCAAAAGTAAACAAATCGTGCCAAGCGTGCAATACACGTCAACTGGTGAGTCTAATATTCTTTCACAAGTGCACCAATAATATTTATACCATTTTTTACACTAATGCAGTAGTCTGCATAACAGTAAATCTTATATTTTTTGTGAAAATAAAAATTCAAAGTGGAAAGCAAAAGAATATAAGAGGGGCCTTGAGACATGACTAATGACTAGAGGAAATGTCATTTTAGTGCCAGGAATGTCTTTCTTGTTTATTCTGGACCCTATTCGGAAATTGGCATCTTTTGAAATTTGTGTGAAATTGGCAAAATTGCTAAATTCTGACCACTGTACTTGGTAGTAGAATTTCATAAATGAGTGGTTTCTTGCACCCATTCGATAGAAAAAATGGAGTTCTATCGAAATATTCATGTTTTTTGTCGACTAGTACAGTGAAATTGGCCGAAAATGGGGCTCAAAGTGGGCAAAATCGCCGATGCGTAAACATCGCCGAGACCGCTAACTTTGCAAGAGCATAATTCCGTAAGTTTTCTATCAAATTTCAAACTTTTGGTGTCTTTATGATCGGGAAAAGATTCTCTATCTTTTCATAAGAGAAAATAATTTTTTTTTTTTTTAAATTTGGCCGACCCTGAGAACGAGTTTCGGAGAGGGCCTGTCGACCCTCAAAGGGTTAATTGATTGGTATAATATAATGTTATTCATAAAGACTTTTAGAGTAATCTGTAATTTTTATTTCAGTGTTCCTGAGGATTACAAAGTGAATCCTGGCCCAGTTGAAGCCATTGCTGAACACCCAACTGAGCCAAACAAGATTTTGATTGGTTATCAGCGTGGCCTTATAGTTCTCTGGGACAAAAAGAATCTATGTGCAGACCAGGTATGTACTAACCAATTCCATTTCATAAGAACATAATGCTTTGCCATTTTCATACTTTTGCGCAGTATGGTAGAATATCTGTTATGGTAGAATATATGTTTACTGTCTGTCACGTAGATCTACATTATTAATACTAGGGGTCCTTGCGTAGATCTACACCTTGAGCTCAGCTCACTCGAACAAGCTGAAAGCAGTAAACTTTAGCCTAGATCTGAGAGAATGGGTCTGTACAGTGAGTGTTCACGGTATAAAAGCAATCCTGCCATGTGTGGTGCATGATGGGAAGAGCAAAACTCTGATCCAGTGTTTGGTTTAAATTAGTGATTTTGAGGTGTTTTCTAAAATGGTTTTCATGGTTTTATTGGCTGTTTCTTGGTATCTTTTGATAGAATAGAAGATATACTACTGAAATAGAGATGATTTTGGTTGGTTCTAGGACCAGAAGTAGCTTAAAATCAGCTTCAAATTGGTGTATAGATTTGATTTTTGCCAATTTTTTTTTTTTCCTGAGGACAGGTAAGGCCCTCTTTTACATCCCCCATTTTTTTTTTTGGTAGGCTTGGTTTAATTATTGGGATGCTGTAAACCATGACCACTCATTCCTGGTTATATTTTATAATCTGAGAAATAGGGCAAATCTTTGATTATTTTTTTTGTGTGTGCGCGCGCGTGTGTGTGTGTTGTGTGTGCGATAAATTAAAAATGGAAGGCACGCATAATGTAGGAGAGGCCTGGGGACCTGATTAATAAACAGAGAAAATATTTTAGTGCTTGGAATGTCTATAGTGTTTATTTTGGACTCTCTCTTTTTATTTTGGGGTTTTGGACCTTGAATGTGGTAATATGTGAGGATCATCTTTTGCATGATCTGATCTGAGACCAGGTCTCCTAAATTGGAATGTAAATATCACAGGAATAAGTAGACCTTAAAACACATGGGTGTATACTGAATGTAAGTAGGAGCTTGTGAGGTTTACTTGTCATCTTGTGTGTGTATGAGACAGAAGGAAAGGCCAGTAATCTTGCTAGAGTTCAAATTGTTTAACAACTTCTGTTTCATACTCACTTGATAGGACTATCTGGAGATGGTTTTGGAGGTCATTGCCCCCGTGGCTCAGTTCCAGACCAAGCCTTCTGATGGATGGCCTGATCATGCAGGCTTTTGGTGCAAACTGCACAGGCCAACATATGCACCACAGCCCAGCTGATCAGGAACTAACTTAGAGAACCTTTCTGGTAGGTATTAGGCTGTATTCTAGCCTACTACCTACTATAACTACATTCAGAATTGTCTCCAAATGTTTTATTTTTAATTCAGCCCCTTTTACCTCTGTGTCCTTTCCTGTTACAGTAGGGCTCCACTTTACGGTGTTTCGCCTTATGGCGTTCCACTAATATGGCTATTTCAAATTATGACCAAAACTCACTACTCGGCTCCCCCTGTCTTTCTAATACAGCATGCCCACCCGGTTTGTTTACATTCTCTGTGAGCACATTATGTCGTATGTCTGGAAACTTTCCAAAATTTCAAGTGTTTTAAAGTTATTGCATATTTTGTATGTACTCTGATAATTATACTTATGTGTACCTGTACCTAAATATACTTACACACTGTACTGGCATGCAGGTACACATTAAAATCACTAAGAGTGTCTCTCTAGTCTTAACTCCATAGCAATAATATTAATAGTATGTAATAATAATCACTCTTGGGCACATTAAATGTCTTATTTTACGTTAATATAGACATTTTCATTAATCCATCTATGATATTTTCTTCAAAATTATACAAGAAACACGTTACATAGCATATAAACATGCTATGTTAATATGCTGTGGAGGTGTGGCAGCCGGTCAGAGGGAAAACATTACGTTTTCTCTGGTCCAGCACCAAAGAAAAAGTGTATGAATCTGTGTTTGGCCCAGTCACTCCCCTTAACACATTCTGCTATTGTTTACAATTCTCGGCATGAATTCTTCTCATTACTTCTCCCTTCGGTTATGATGGCATCTAAAGGTAGTTGTTAGAAACGATTAAACTTGGTGAGCAATCCATGTCAATGGTAATAATATGGCTCTGGGCCACATTAAATATATAGCTATGTAGGTAGGTGTAGCTATGTAGCCCAGGCTACATCTACTGGCTACCTACACCTGACTTCCTACAAATGAATACTACTCACCTCTCATCCTACATTAAGACTACGCATATTTTAAGGTAAATAATGTGTGTACTGTGTGTATTTTATCTCTCGGGCTGCTTTAAATATTGTATATTAAGTGTGGGACGGGGACCTGACTTCCTACAGTTAAGTACTACTCGCCTCTTGCCTTATATTAAGACTACAAATATTTTAAGGTAAGAAATGAATGTACTGTGTATGTATTTTACTTGTTATTGTGTTTTTTAATGCCTTGTTATATTACTAACTTAATATAAGTTAGTGTAAACTTGTTGTCTGGCATTTATATGTATTTATAAGAGGAAAAAATGGCTTTCTGCTTTCTGGCGATGTCCGATTTCCAGTAGTAGCCTGGAACCTAACCTGCTTTATAAGTGGGACCCTACTGTATATGGATCTCTCTTATTGATGTGTGTACTTTCCTGTTGTACGAATGTCTTCCTTAATGTTGTGTGTCCTTTCCTGTTGTATGGATGTCCTCCTCAAAACATGGCTTGAGGTGCAATGAAATACCACACAACTTGTAGATATATTGTATAGCTGTTTGCTTACTTATCTTTTTGCTTGTTTGCTGACATACATAACATAGTTTCTGTAGAAGAAATAGTTTCAAATAATTGTGCTCCAGGCTTCACTTTAAATGGATCACTTTCACTGTCATAAGTCAACATGTTGGCTGAGTCTTTACCTAGTATTTTTCTATTATCTGTCTCATGACAGATAAATGGAAATTGGCCAATTTGGAGTTCCATTCTGTTTTCACTTGGAGCATTTTGTATGTATTTGGCACTACAACATCCAACAGATAGTAAAACAATTTCATGTACCACTTTCATCTCCTCCTGACACATTCCACAGATCCAATTTACATGTCTGATTTGTCTACCAAACGCATATTGGTGTTTGTGTATTCTTCCAGGGACGGTATTGTGCCTTTTTGTTCTTTATTAACTGCAATTACTTTCATAATAGGTTCATCTATTTTCCAGTCAGTTTCCAGTTTCCTTCATTTGATACCTCTGCATAGTTGTCAACATTATCTCATCTCTTTTGTCATCGAAATGCCATCTTGTCATTGGTATGGAATACCTGCACTTCATTGGTATCCAGTGATTTTGTGCATGGTGGAATATGTTTGTTTTCTCTCACTCTCACACATGTTTGTATTGTTCACTTTGGGTAAATCACAGAGAGAAGAGCTTTTGTATCAATTTATCTGTGAATAGGGTATGCTACTTGCCTAGATATGGCTCCATCATATTCCTCACAGCTACAACAAAGAGGCCTAACATGTCGTGTGTATTTTTCAATGTGTTTCCTGTATACACGATAACATCTAGCACTATACCAGTTTCACTTTCATACATTACAAAATAATTTGATACCAAACTGATGCCATTTGCTTGGTAGATATTGCATGAAGGAAAGTTTTTCTTGGAATAAAATTAGAGACTTGTGTATGATAATGTTCTGGAATGGATAAAAGTACTCACTGAATTTGTTTTTAGGTGCATTATCACATCCTGTATTTTGTAGAGCAATCATCTCTCTGGGTATTGCTTTTGTTAAAGAAGTTCAACAAGAGAAAGTGATCAATGGACAAAGCAATAAGAAAAAGCAGTCAATAGGTATAATCTCGTGGAAAGCAGGTGTTGCTATAAATCTATCTATACTCCAGTATGGCGGAACCTCCACTCATGAGTTTAAACCATTCTGTGACCTTGTTCGCATCTGGATTTACTTGTTTGCAGAGTCAATTTTCCTCATTTAAATTAATTGAATTGCAATTAATCTGTTCCAGTGGAGTTCCAAGCATGACAAAATACTTCAATAATTTCCCTAATATCAACTCTACGGCTTATTTATCTATCACAGTTCATCTGATATGACATAATAAACAATATAAATAACATAGAAAGCTGATATATACTCTAGAATGAATAAAATATGTCATTCATGTAGTGGTATCGTCGGCAGCAGACGAGAGTTTGTCTGGAGACAGGACAAAATACTCCTTGAATAATTTTGCTAATATCAACTCTATGGCTTATTTATCTATCGCAATTCATTTAATATGGCATAATAAACAATATAAAAACATAAAAACCTGATTTATACTCTTGAAGGAATAAAATATGCCATTATGTGACAGGTGGAGGCGCCACAACCGCTCCCGCATTGTTGTGGTAATCACTGCCATCTAGTGACAGCCTTTTGAAGCCGTCTATTATTATAATTATTATTATATAGTACATTATTATTATATTTGTATTATTATTGTACATATTATTATTATATACAGTGGTACCTTGGGATACAAACAGCTCAAAACTCGAACAATTATGTAAGTGTATTTATGTAAGTGCTTTTGTACGTGTATTTTTGGGGGTCTGAAATGAATTAATCTAATTTACATTATTCCTTATGGGAACAAATTCGTTCGGTATTGGCACTAGAACAGCCTTCGGGAACAAATTAAGTTTGTATCCCAAGGTACCACTGTATTATTATACTATTATTATTATACCTGGTATACCTGGTAAAGTGTATGGTAGAGTTATTATTGAAAGAATTAAGAGTAAGACGGAGAATAGGATAGCAGATGAACAAGGAGGCTTTAGGAAAGGTAGGGGGTGCATGGACCAGGTGTTTACAGTGAAACATATAAGTGAACAGTATTTAGATAAGGCTACAGAGGGTGGATAGGGGGGCAATGTGGCAGATGTTGCAGGTGTATGGTGTAGGAGGTAGGTTACTGAAAGCAGTGAAGAGTTTTTATGAGGATAGTGAGGCTCAAGTTGGAGTATGTAGGAAAGA